ATCGTTTGTGCTTACACGTATAGGACAGGCAAGGAATTTAACATAGCGTATTTAAATAAAGCAAGAGGAAACAAACTTTTGTACAGTATGTACTGAAATCAGCAATTTCGCGTATTCTATTCAGCTGTTTACATACAATTAGTGGAATCCGCAGGCTACATAGCAGACAACGTGCGATGCGAACGGCAAAAATTGCAGAGCGGTCGAAGGCCCTTAGGCTCACGTGACTCGTTTCGAGGAAAACGCACTCACTAGCCTCACCACGGGAGCGCTATCGTGGTCACGAAATCCGTTTGCTTTCACAGATTTGGTTTCAACCGCCGAATTTCTGACGCCTCCGCAAACTGAAGTAAGCGAGGATTAGCTTGTTTGCTAACTAGCCTGAAATGGCCACGTGGGTTTTGGCATTCAGGGCAATCAAGTAGGTGGCGGGCAATAGAGCTAGTCAGTAGCTACGAGCCATAAGCTATCATGTTTCGCAGAACACGCTCTGCAATCCTCGCTGACAGCCTTTGCTCAATTCAGCCTATGTACTTGCTACTGCAAGTACAGTTAAAGAGGTAAATGCATGAGGCGCTAACTTGAGAGACCGGTCTGTCCATGTTGGATTTACAGAGCAACCTACTGACTTGATGCAAAATCACAGTCGCATAGTAACATTTCTTATTTGATTGATGGAGGCAATGCAGGCATCTTCTGTCAGTAGTATCTACTTTGAACGGCGGTTTAAGGAATACTTTTTTCGGGTGTCTTGCTATGAATCGCGTGGGATATCCATTCTCTTGTGGTGTCAAGTGACTCTTTCCAGTTCACGTTCGATTGTATCTAAAGAGCAAATTTGAAGAGCTCTAGCAAAAGTGGTATTTGCTAAAGCTTGTTTGTAGTTCCTTAAGCAGAAACTATTAAAGTTTATTACTGTCTGTCCATGTTGGTTTTCTGTACACAGATCGAACGAGTGTACCATCTGGCTTTTTCTGTAAATTATCAACTAAGAAATGGAAAGATCCATCGGACTCGTTTCCATTGTGAACTTGATGGCCGTGTGGCACATACTCATCAGTTCCAATAAATGCACCGCTTGTTGAGGTGTGTCAACGACGATGGATGTGTCGTATAGATACCGTCAATAAAAGTGTACATTTTGTATGTGAGAAGCTATCTCAGTGTTTTCTTGGTGGCCCATAACGTTCTCAGCCAAAACTGGGCCCACTGGGCTGCCTATGTCCAAAGCATCGATTTTTCGATACAGGGTTCCATTGAACTGGAGCTGAATAACTATTCAGCATCGGCGCATTACAGATTTGAGTTGGAGCTCTTGGAATCCGACTTTGTCAGCGTGTCTGGCTAATATATCTACTGTTTCCTCCAAAGGGATGTTTGTAAACAATGAAGATACGTCAAAAGAAACCATGTGCTTTCCCTTTATGTTTCAATTACGTATCTTGTTGAAAAATTCATAGGTGTCTCTTAGGCTGTAGCTCGTCAGTTCCTTCTGGATGGGCGCATAAACTTCCTCTAACGGTCGCGCTAATTTTTGGTACGGTGCGTCTATCATTGAGACGACTGGACGTAGTGGGATTACCTCCTAATATGTTTTCGGTAAGCCATGGATGTGCGGAAGTCGTGATCCCCGGGGGGTAACTAGTCATGGTTTTGGCATCCATCAATCCGGCCCTCACTAGATTCTGCAAGTCACGAAATATAAACTTCTCCATCTGCTCGGTTTTGTCTCGGCTTATCAAACCACGAACAAAGCGGTTAGAATCCGAAAGAATTAATTGGACTTTCTGAAAGCAGTGTTCTTTTTCTCAAATCACAAATCCTGATCCCTTCTCCGGTCTCAGTATTACGGGATTTTCATTTCGCCGCGGTTATATCAAGGATTCCCAATGATCCTTCATAAGGATTCTGCAATTTTCCGTTACAATGACCCAGACTTGTTTAGTCAAATCTACCATTTTAGCTCTAAATCAGCCGCTTGCACCCTCGCTGACTGGTGTTAAAATGCTCAGTTGTTCATACAGATGCTCAAACTAAGCTTCAATCCTTATTCTGTCGCATCTGTATGGTAGAACTGAACAATTGAAACCCAGCGATTAAGCTTCAAGTTGGTGACGACTCAATGAGGTGGTTGATAGATTTAACACATACTTCTAAGGTTCTAACGGCATCTGGTCGTTAACACATTCCGGTGTCATGAACTCATTAGATGTTTTCTAGTATTTGAACGCCTTCTTAACAACGAAGTGCGAAGGAAGTTGAAGAGATTCCCCTGCCATACAATGTTTAAACAAGTACGTACTTGGTCCACACATCTTTGGCGTTTAATTTACCAATGTTTTAAGTGGTGGCTTCGATTTGGGATTTGGTTACTCTTCGCAAGTTTCAGGCATTGACGGGTGCATTGTTCTTGCGTAGTAACTTTCCAAATTGAGGAGGGTAATTAGACGTTTGCAGGCATTCAGGGTAAACGAACGCCTACTTATCGTATTGTGTTTACGAATCAGCTATAGAGCTGTTACGGAGATAAACGGATTAAATATTTGGATATAGCGGTAACATACAATTGCGACTAGAGTTCCAGTAATCAGTACTTACAACATTCAGCAGAACTTTCATGTTCATTTGGACCTGCTGCAAACTGGGGATTAACGGTCAGAACACGCAACTCGGCGGCGTCACTCGATGAATCTGGGAGGTTTGTACAGGAGTTCGACGTCTGTGGACTGTTATTCGGTGAGGAGTGTTCGTTAGTGCCCAAAGTGTTAGGCTCCAGATTCTAAGGAAAAGAAAACAGTAGGGACTAGGTTTTGGTTGAGATATTCTGATAGTTTTAATCCTTATGATCGTACCTCATCAATATTGCTAGTTTTAAATTCAGTGTGTATACCTACACTAACCGCTGACCACTCCGTTCGCTGAGGGTGTCGTAAGCATGAGTATGTGGAAAGCTTGTAACCAAACTATAAGCTCGACACGGAGCACTTCCGTGGATTCTCAGCGCGCTTTTTTATGAATCATTAATTACCACTACTCAAAAAAGTTCAGCCTGGGAAAGCTTTCTCTTCCGCCAAGCCATGTCAGATAAAAGCGAAGCTTGACGCAAATGCAATTAAGGTGAATACATCCATTAGACAGCAACAAGACATATTGATGACGCGACACACTCATTGCAACTGGATACATTTCAACAAATGTTCCTGTGCGAAAGCACAGGACTTGGCGACGGACATTAAATTAAAGATATTAACACAACGATAATCTATTCTGAGCCATAAATTTGTGGTGCTGTTGCTTTTGATCAACATATTGGGATTTACTTATTTCTCCCTCGTCACTTTACTTGATCTACATATGTGGAGGCGCAGAATAGCGTTGCGCCACAGGCTTCCTCAAGGTTTGTGTCGTATAAAAGTAACAAGGTTTTTTAGATAGACACGTTAGGGTATTTCGTGAGCTGATGTCCAGTAACAACGCAGCTAAGCTTATAGCGAGAGAATCCAAGCTTTCTCACGGACATCGGATGAGGTTAACATATATCAATTTGTCAGACAGCTAGTGCGACTGTGCTTTTAAACATAAAAACGTAAAGCGCTTAGCATCTTTCCAAATTAGACTGCTTGATTAGTTCAGAATACCAGCCGTGCTATAAAATGAGACCAACTAATCATCGCGAGCTGAGACTATCTTTTTCTTATTACTTGTATTGCTGCATTTAGACTGAAATGTTGTATTTATACCGATGAGAATTATATCATATCAGTTATGGACTCATCGTCTAACTGTGAATGTCATACGAAGCATGTTAGAGTCTGATTTATAGTGAAATAATAAAACATATAGCATATGGGTTTAAACCAATACGAAAATCGTTAAGTTTAAAATAGGACCAAGAAAAGGTGTGTAGTTCACGACAAATGGTAGTATGCAATTGTACCAATCCATCAGCAGAGAAGAAAAAGCATTGTACCCAGGATCAGATTCTGCTGGAATCACTTACCGACTGCTGATCAGCTAAATCGCCTGTCATTTGAAGTAGAGACGTGAGTACTTCAGTGCATCGAGCCAACATTAAACGCTTCCGTGCCATTGTCGGTGAGACATCTGCATCCACACTGCTGTCCCATTCAAATAAGCTTCGGGACATTGGGTCTGGAGGGTCTAATGTCGCGAGTACTTCCATGTCTGCAGTCATACTGAGCTCATCAATGCCATCATTGGTGGTGCTTGAGACAACCAGACCACTGTCGAATTGCTGGTTCTTCTTACTGTGCGAAGGTTCAACAAACGGGAACTGTAATTAGTCAGCACCACATGAAACATTTCTAAAATACCGTGCGATATGAATTTTTGAATTTGTTTGACATACTCCGTGGAAAGAAAGGAGTTAGGATTTTTAACAAAGATGACAAATGTTGTCTTACATAAGCTCTTCCATCTTTCCTCAGCTTTTCCTCACATTCTTGCCGTGTACGTGAGGCCGCATGTGGAATACTCTATCCATCTTCGTAACCTTGGCACAAGCGTCACCTAACCGATACTGCACAATGCAGTGTGACAATGAAAGTCAACATGTTGTCCCATCTACTTTACCAACACAGCTGAGGTTTCCTGCGTCGACGGAGCTTTCTCAAAAAGGTGTATCACATCCCAAATAAATCTCAGCCGCACTTACTACTCTCTTGTTAAACCCAACCGAAAAACCTATATGAGGGGCCATCAGTTTATGCTGACCACGTAGTACAGCCGACTCGAACGTTGACAATATGCTTTCTCCCTCCGAGTTTTACTAATCTAAACAGACTTGACGACATTAACACATGTACAACATGTGATAGAACGCATGCTATCAAGTTACTGCATTATTGCAGAGCAATTAGAATCGGTGCCTTTAAAATGCCTTTAAAATACAGTCAGGAATACTCCTTGTTGAATCATGTATTTTACGCGTTCCTTCATCGACACTTAGTTTTATTGTGTAATTTTCAATCTAAGCAGCCTACGAGACTTGTTAAACATTTGATTAGTTTACCCGTTATTCCTGGATGCCCAATAACTTAGAGCTATCAAGGTTATCGACACCGAAGCCTGCGGTAATTCAACAAGGTCTCCACGCATGTTACATCAAACCTCTCAGCAGGTTTACAAAATAATTCCCCGACGTAGCAAGCGGACAGCCCCCCAGATATCTGCTTGTTAGATCCTAGAGAAATAGATCTGTAATGATCCATGTGA